GGCGGCCCCGGCCGCGCAACCGGCCCCGGCCCCGGCCCGGGCAGCGGCCCCGGCGAGGCCGCCGCTGTGCGCCTTCTGCCGCCAGAACGGCGAGGCCCGGCACGTGTACACGGGCCACAACCTGCACGACGCGAGCGGCCGCGTGGAGTGCCCCGTGCTGCGGCGCTACGTGTGCCCGCAGTGCGGGGCCACGCGCGACAACGCGCACACGCGCCGCTTCTGCCCGCTCACGCGCGAGGGCTACGTGTCCGTGTATCACCACGCGCGCCGCCGCCGCCGCCGCTTCTGAGCCCCGCGGCGCCGGCCCCTTAGCCCGCTTCGCCGGCACGTTCCTCTTCGGTTTTGTTCTCCTTCCTCCCCCTTTTCATTTTCTTCTTTTTCCCACTTTTTCCCCCCTTTTTCCATTTTTTCCTTTTTTTTTTTTGGCAATGATTTTTTGGCAACATTTTTGATTTTTTTTTTGCAATGACTTTTTTACTCCAGTCGCCCGTTTTTCACCTTACCCACAACGAGATTTTTTTATTCCTCCTTCTTCATTTTATTCCCTCTTTTGCCCCCTTTTTTATTGCATTCCTCCCTTCCGTATTTCATCCCCTCTTTTATTTCAACCCCCTTTCTTTATTCCTCCCTTTTTTCTGTCCCCCTTTTTATTTTATCCCCTTCTTCATTTCATTCCCCTGCCCTTATTTGATCCCCGTTTTCATTTTACCCGCAAGGGCATTTTTGATTTTCGCCCTCCAAAGCAGCAGTTTTTTTCGCCCCCGCTCCCAGCATTTCAATGGATTTTTAACCCCCCCCGACTGTTTGCAACGGGGATATTTTTGTTCAAACCCTTCCCACCCCGAGTGTCCCAAACCGTTTCCTTTGCTAACCCCGCTTTTCACATGGATTTTTCTTTTCTTTTCTAACGCCCTTTCAGGTTTGCAATGGGGAGCGATAATAGCCCTGCATGGGCAATGGCGGGGGGTGTTTATCCCCGCTCCCCACCATGAGATTTTCCTTTTCCTTCCCTTTCTCCGGCCCCGGCGCGGGGCGGCCCCGGCGCGCCCGGCTCCCGCGGTGGCTCCGCCGCGGCGACCGGGCGGTGGCAGCGCTGAGCGACGCGGCGACCCCGAGTGACACCGGCCGGAGCGGCCGCTTCCCCGCGCGGAGCCTCCGCCGCTTCCCGGCCGCCGCTCCCGGGAATGCGGCGCCGCCGGCTCCTCCGCGGAGGCAGGAGAAGACGAAGGGAGCGGATGTC